CTCCTCTCGGTCAACAGCGGCGCCCGCAGCCTCCTCCCGGCACTGCACGCACCGAGCGCGAACGAGCGCTGACCGCCCTGCCATGGAAACGTGCGTCCCCTTCCACACTGCACCTCCTTCCTCGGCATTTCTCCATGCGATCTCTGCTTTGATCCTCCAGCTCAACACGATCAATTAGAATTAACACGCCTCCCCTCGTCGTGATATTTCTAATCGCACGGGAAATTTTTATTGTGATATAATAGAAATTGCTTTTGATATGATGTGCAAAGCGTTATTAGCATTTTGCGTTAGTCTCGAAAGCACAGACTCCCCAGCCCATTGCACAGCGTAGCTTGAATGCAGATCAAACCACCGTCATGGGCTTGGGGACTAAAATACCCCCATGAACAGCCGAATGAGCAGTCCTCACATCCTGCAATACAGGGACAGAACATCATCTCCCCCTTTCTGCCGACTAATAGACCCTCACTGGAACGCTGCCAGCATAGAGCCCGACCCATAATAGTACAAAAAGCGAGGAAGACCCACCTAGTCTCCTTAGAGATCTTAGCTCTGGTCTTTTAATTTTCACCTCGACATAACAGACTGATCTGAATCAGTTTGATCTGAATCAAACCTGTATAAGTCGCCCTTTTGCAAACACTACGCCGAATTTTTCCTTAAAGACTTACACAGTAGAGGCTGTGCTTGGACTTTGGACATAGTACTCCGTTCGAGAGTAACTCAGCACCCTGCAGCGGTGCTCATCCACATGCACATAGGGGGTCCATAATAAAAATAAAACAACTAGCACTTAGCACAGCCTTGTCATTAAAAGCTATCAAGTAGGAAAACATATAATATCTAAGAGGAAATTATTAGAAATAAAAGATCGATTGAGAAAAACAGCAACAAAAAACGTTCAACCTCCTCAAACAAACAAACAAAACCCCACCATGTGATTTTCTTCTTTAGATCGCATTGTACGCCTATGTAGAACAGGCAGTTCTACAGGGACGGTAAACAAGAGCCAACTACCACTCAGGCTGAAGCCCAAAATGAGAAATAACTGCACAAAGAGATTAAGGAAGTCAAAGTCAAAAAAAAAATAAAAATTATCAAGCCCACTAACGCTTCCATTTCTGCAGATGCCTTCAACAAAAGATGGGAGAGGACACGGCAGAGAGGAGGAAAATGCAGTAGGGAGGAAAAATATCAAACGTCCCCTATCATCGAGGCACACACACTTTCGTTTGGTAGTCCAGCACTGAAACAGCATTAACCAATGGGGTTTTGTTAGGCTGCCACAAAGCTGAAAATACATCACTTCGGGAAAACGAGATACTGAAGGAAAAACGTCAATCCTATTTTCCTGAGCCAGCCTTGTAGAATTAGGGGAAGTCATTCTACATATTCGCCCTTCTCCGTTAATAAACCATAATATTTCGTGCAAGTTACATTGTCAGACACGTTTTCATCTGAATCTGAAACTTTCTGTTCTGAGTGGAAAATGAAGATAGGCACAATATCAATCGGAGCTTCGCCACTGTTGCCCCACGTTACGCCGCAGAAGTTGAACGGCAAGAACATCCCCGATGAATCTACACGTGACAGAATAACACATCGGATAGCTGGTAAGGAGAGAAGTGGCGGGTCACAGGACTTGCTACTAAAACAGATGCGGCATAGTATTATCCAACTCTTTCAAAGAAACGCAGGTCAGCACTAATCACTCCAGCAGAGAAACGAAGATGAAGAACCCACTGCCGCCAGCACCCATTTACGAAAGATTCAGAGAGAAAGAGTGCACGAGCTTACAGACCTGCGGTTCAGCAGCACCAACGGGTTTGCACCAGAGAAATAAGGACTGGAAAAAATAAGTCAGACTCAGTAGTGCTACCATTTCTGGGAAGACAGAGGATAAAGGGTGGGGAAAAATAGAGAACTTGCAACACGAAAATAGCAGTAGTCAATCAGGTCCAAGTACGCCAGTGCAGGAAAAGGAGATCTCAAAACCCAGGTGTCCACTTAATTTTTCGTAACGCAACATCAGTACTTTCTTGCGAACACCGCTATTAGTTCTAATGAGATCTGTGGTCAATACTTTTTACGTCAACCAGAACCTGTTAACATCGAAGAAGGAAATGCAGAGACTGGCCACTTGCTGCGTGTAGAACTGATATAAAGTATTTACGTCCTCTAGGAATTAAGGAATCCTAAAAACACGTCCTGGGAAAATCGAAGGGCATAAGGGATGCCGGCCGAGACGCTCAAGGAAAAGAGAGAGAGCACGCGGATATACACACCTGCGGTGCGTCGGGGTCGGCGGGCGGCTCTCCCGGGACGGCGCTGCTGCTCGGACTCGGCTTCTCGCAGGGCTCCCCGGCCACAAGCTCCTCCGCGGGCACGATGGGCAGCGGCGGCGGCGGCCAAGCGGCCTCGGGGGTGGCGCGGGGCGGCGCCGCCACGCACAGGTTGTAGGAGTACGGCAAGGTGCCCTCGCA